TTTACTTAGCTATCTAAATGGGGACATTCCATAGGCGTAATGGTTTTTATACTGTAAAAACTCTATATTCTATTGCCCTACACCAACCCTACACCTAAACCTACCCCTTACAGGAAACTTTTTTACAATTTAACTTTACTTGTTTACTTTATTTTTATACCGGTTTTACAAATGAGGACGTCCCCAAAGGGAGGTTTTTGGAGATTTTGTCAGGTTTAGCTCACTTTTGGATACAAATTTGTCCCCAAAATATGGTTAAGTAGGTAAACACACACACACACACACACACACACAAACAAACAAACATACACACACACACACACACACCCCATTAGAAACGGCAGACAGGCAGTGCAATGTTTCTTCTGTCCTCTCATTATCTAGTGGACTTTCTTCGGTCCTTTAGTTTCAGTCAGGCTACACAGAGTAACTCATATGTTACAATCATACATTGCAAACAGACAGCCATAATCATGTTAGCAAGGAAGGCTTAGATTCAGGGAATCTGGGGATGCACTGAAATTAATTTAATTTAGCATAAATTAACACTGCAACTAAAGATGGCACATCCTTGGGGCCAAAACACACATTTGCACACACTTTCCCTGACTTTGTCTTTCATTTTCTTTACTGATTCCTCTGGCTCTGTAACACACACAAGTAGTTCAGACATATTAAATAGTACTTCATTATAAAATTACAGAATTTTCAGCATCATTACTCCAGTCTTCAGTGTCACATGATCCTTCAGAAATCAGTCTAACAGTCTGATTTGCTTCTCAAGAAACATTTATCATTATCAATGTTTGAAAACAGCTGTGCTGCTTAATATTTTTATGAAAACCATGATACATTTGTTTCAAGATTCTTTGATTACAGTTTTTTACGATTGCTTAAGCACAATTTTGAATACAATTTAGCAATCATGTGTTTGTGCACCTGATGGCTGTGTTTAACAGATTGGCTCATAGGTGTGGTAATTTGACAGTCAGTGCTTTGGAATTGCAAGGAAGTGACATCATGATATACTTCTGTGTCTGATGTATACAAGTGTGTTTAGTGTTTTGCAAATCACTGTGTGTAATGTTTTGCAAATAGTGTGAAGCTGACAATGTGCTTACAGTTGTGCAAATCTAGCCTTGTGTTTTGCTCCTTGAGTGTAAGGTTTTGCTAATTGTTGGAAAAGTTTAATTTTAGTGTGTAAGCAATCGTAAAAAACTGTAATAGAAAGTTCAAAAGAACAGCATTTATTTGAAATAGAAATCTTTTGTAACATTATAAATGTTGTTGCTGTCACTTTTGATCAATTTAATGCATCCTTCCTGCATTCTCATTTGTACTGCATTTGAGTGCACTAGTGCTAAACAAGCTTTCTGTCTTTGTTAGGAAATGAAAAATAGAGAAATTGTCCAACACGTCCTTATAATTCCAACCATGATTTTGAAATTACAGTATTTAAAAGGGCTTGAAGGCAACATACACGTCACTGAATTCTGAAAATACCTACTAATATAATAAATCATACTGTTATTGTCTTCCTCTGTTTCATAAAGATATTTGACATATCATGGGACCTGTATCAGCAAAGCAAGCTAGTGAGCTGTGGAGTCAAACATATCAAGGTACTGCCTTTTCTCTTTTTTGTATTCATTTTTCCTATTCCTATTTTGTTTTTGGCTTCAGATGAGTCTGTAATGAAATACACTTGTAATCTTGAACTTGTGAATGTCAATGTAAATTGCTGTTTGCACTTCATTGTAGTGAGTTCAGTGGGATATGCATACAAGAATGGAGACATAATTCACTAAAACATTTGTGAGGAATGGATTTGGAATGGATATCAGTTAACACTAAGCGATAGCCTTCGTTTCAGTGGAAGAGCTAGTTATAAAATTTGTTTTTGAGTAATTTGCTTCAGTTAATTATTTATAATACAACCAGGAACATGTATTAAGAGTAAATGGTCCATTTGATTTCATGTTAGGTTTAATTTCTCAAAAGCTATTCAATATTAAACACATAGTTTGCCTTTTACTGTCACTTAATCAAAGCCCAGTAAAAATCTTCAGCTACCTTTAAATAGTTGAAGTATAGTGCTGGTCTCCCTCTGTCTTTACTGTGAGATGGTTCAGATGGGATCAGAGAGTGTTCCACTGTTCTAAAGCCACATTGCAGAAGCCCCTTTCCAAAAAATGATCTTGCTGGCTGCCACCTGCATACATGCCTTGTATAAGCGGAAGTTCACACATACAACAACAAAGCGATTGAAAGCCGTTTTTTATAATAAGATTTCCAGCAACACAAACAGTGGTGACCATGAGTTTTGTGGTCATTTGTGGTCGACAAATTTGCAAAATGTTTAACTTCATGCAAATGAAAAGTGATACAAATTCGAGTATTAGGGAAAGTATTGGAGGTCACATGATCCTCGTCCTGTGTTATGCTGTAGTCAAGTGTAGGTGAGATAGGGAAGTTAAATAACAAAACTCACAGTGATCACTGACAAAAAGGTTGAATCTATTAAAAAAGAATTTGAAAAAAATTAGGCAGAGATTTGAACCTAGGTCTCGCTCACTAAATGAAAACTTTACTCCCAGACTACTGATTCTTATCATTAAAGGAAGAGTTCACACAAAAATTAAAATTCTGTCAACATTTACTCACTCTCACGTTGTTACGTAACTCACGTTACTTGCAATGTGTTACACCCAACATTGCTTGTAATACTGTTAGTTTGCTAGCTATTTATGTCTAGCCCACTTTTTGGTGTATGAAAGCACACTTTGAAGTATTCTTTAAGTAAACTAGTAGTTTTTGTACTGCAAGTATACCTGTAAGATTTCTTTAAGGGAATTTAACATCATAATTATAGTTTACAGACTTTCAGTCATCTTCGAAACACAAATGAAGATATTTTTAATATTCTCTCATCATTTTTGTCCATCCGTCGAAAGTCCACACAACCAAAATGTTAAGCTTTTATTCACATATAATAAACATTGATCAATGCACATACTTATAACTCATCAATTATGCTAAACAGAAGCTCAGATGTGCTTGCTTGAGATATGAGAACAAACCTCACTGGTTCTCACAGAAGCTCACACTTTCTTGTGTACCATGCTTGGTTTTCACACTTCAAACTAGCACGATTGAGCTTGCACTTACCATATTTGACGTGCTTCATGTTTGTGTGTTGATTCATATGGATTACTTTTATGATGTCTTCATGAACATCATTGAAGCTTCTTGATACAGTGCATTCTGGGATTGACTTCTACAAGAAATTGACAATAATTGTTCTTTAAATAATTGCTCTCTCTATGATTAGAGTCTCTTTCTCTCTCATCAGTTACCATTAAGTTTTGGCTTTAGGTTCCTGTCATGAAGTAATTCACAATCCTCATGGGCTATACCTTTTAATCTTTATTTCTGTCCCTCTCTCTTTCTCTTTATTTCTCTCTCACGACACCTTCTTCAGATGGCTGTGCATCCCCTATATCTCTTGCTGTGTCAGTATTTTTCTCTTACTATATCCCTCATTCTCTCATATAAGACACATCTTCATGTAGTTAGGACGGTGTAGCAGTTGTCCCACATAATTCCTGAGTCTTTACCCCCTCAACCATGTGACATCTGCTCCCCGGACCCGTGCTCACTTAGCGATTATGCACTCAATGCATGCCAGAGATTTAGCTCACTGTAATCCCCCCTTTTCTCTCTATCTCTCTTTGAGAGAGCCCCAGAGAAACTGAAAATCTCTGGTGCCAGATGAAAAGCTACATTTTGTGTGGTTCTTAAATTTCTTCAAGGCTTACTAAAGATGGTTCTTCATTTAAAAAAACTGGACATACTCTTCACGTTAAACACATGAGCATATTAACTGAAATTAAACCTCATAAGTGACTGATTTGGAACGCTCTACCAACCCTGACACACATGGTGCTCTTATATGAGATCACGCATGAACAGAACTGAACACACCTAAAAATAAATGATCAACTTCAAATAAGATTCAAACAATAAAACATGATAAAATAATACAATTAAATTAATGCTTGGTACAGGGGTCTGAATGTCTGTAATGAGTGATAAAGCTGTCTAGCACTAGTCTTGGAGGAATGTATTTTTTAATAAAATACGTAAAATTGTAAATGTATTATCACTGGATACATTTTAGCTGCTGGTATGCTTTTGTATTTTGTAGTCTCTTACAAAAAAGAAATTTAAGTGTGCTATTAGTATACTCGTGAAGATGAAAACAAAATGCCATCGAATCGTTTCTAAAGACAGTCAGAACCTTCAGAGGTGCATTCATATAATTCATTCATTCATATATTCATTTGTATAATTCCCTTGGCACTCTTTTAAAACTTCCCAGCTTTTACGCCATGTTTTCACTCAAAACGAAACTACTCTGCATGCTGTGTGCACGTGAGACTGTTACTGAAAACTGTGCTTTATGGTGGACAGTATTTATTTATCGTGAATTGTTCAAATCGCGGTAATCTAATACGGTTTTAATGATAATTGAAATATGAAATGGTAATACTAACCGTCTGGAATTTTATCATGATTTATCGTCAAACCGGTAATCGTTACATCCCTACTTACTATTAAACTAAAGATAGGGGAGAACACTTTTAGTATACAATTTGCCCTGTTTAATAAATCTGGCCCTGTAAGTATGATGTTAAATTCACTTTAAGAAAACTTACAGGTATACTTGCAGTATAAAGCTATTAAACTAGTAGGTTACCTAAAGAATACTTCAAAGTGTGCTTTCATAAACTAAAAAGTATATAGCTAGTAAACTAACAGTATACTTTACAAGTATACTACTAGTACTTTGATTTTAGAATACTTAAATATTCTTGGAAAATATATTTGACCTTAAATTAACTTGAAGTATACTTTTTTGCTAGGTGTGCTGCTTACAGGGGATTTAATTAACAATTTATACTAACAGACTTCGATATTAGCATGTTGCTACGCTAACGTCTCGGTTACGCATGTAACCCTTGTTCGCTGAAGGAGGGAACGGAGACGTCACATCGGTGACCGACGAATTGGGATCTCGCTTAGAGACGTTCCCTCCTTCAGGGAACGAGGGTTACATACGTAACCGAGACGTTCCCTTTCACAAATTGATTTTGAATTGGGATCCCTACCAAAGCGCCATGGATGCTGCCCCTTCAAGTGTCCTGTGCGAGCCGCCTGCGCCCCTTTTTGGTCAGGGCTCGCAACAAGAAGACCAGTCACCGTTGTCATAGCACTACCCACTCAGTGAGATTGGATAACACTGGGAAAACGTAC